CCAGGAGAGGGGATCCCAGGGGCTCAGCATGGCTGGGGCTGGTGCATCCCAGGTTGTGGGGCAGGATGAGGCCCCTCCCTCACCACCACAGCACCACCAGCATCATGCAAGCTCCTTCCAGAGGCGTCTCCCGTGTGGTTTGAGGCTCCCAGCGGGAAGAGGCAGCTGGAGGGGGCACCCAGCGGGGAGAAAAGGGAAGGTGGGTGAGTAACAAAGTGAGCAGGGAGCACCCATCGGGTGCTGGGTCCCTCGAGCCGCCAAGTCCTGGGTGCTGCCCTCCCTGTGGGGCAGGAGCTGGAGACAGGGCCCAGGGCAGGGGATGCGCACCCCGAGCCTGCAGCCAGCCAGCACCCACCACAGCCCCCGAGCCCTGATTTGGGGTGGATTTAGATGAAATTACCTGTCACCACGAGAGCCCTGGAGCTGTCACCACCCCAGCCAGCTCCAGCACCCAGCCCCATCCAGCAGCACGGAGGGGACATGCGGGTGGGTCATCGTGACCACACGGGACCCAAAGAGCCCAGAAGCACAAGGGACTGTGCACAGAGCGGGACTGCCTGTTTTCCAAGAGCAATAAGAGATATTTCTGCTCTTGGTAGAGAAAAAGGCTGGTGAGCTCGGAGCTGGGCACGAGGGCGGCTTCCTCCATCTCCAGTTTACCAGGATGCTGGGGCATCGGGTTAGGGCTCTACTCCTGCTGGGAAGATGAGCGTGGACCAGGGCTGCCCATCTCGCCCGGGGCAGGCAGGGGTCCCCGCACCTCAGCCCCCTCCTCCATCCCCCAGGTCTGGTTCCAGAACCGACGGGCCAAGTGGCGGAAACGGGAACGATACGGAAAAATCCAGGAGGTGAGAGATGCTGCCTGCCCAGCCCTGTCCCCCCACCCCGGGCAGGGGTCCTGCCCCATTGCACCCGGGGTCCCCACGGACCCACATCACCCATTTTTGCTCCTCCTCTCCCATGGGCCCTGCGGTTCCACCCGCCCTTGGCCCCAGGTGGAAAAGGAGGAGAGCTGCAGCGTCACATTTTGCCACATGCAGAAGGTGCTGCTTTATGTCCCCCTCCATCTCCAGTGGGAAAATGGGCAGGTTTTGGGGTGCCCCCCCCCCTCAAGAAAACCCCTTTAGCTGTCCCACATCCATCACTGCTGCCTGCCCCCCTTTTCTGCAAAATTACCTTTTTTTTTTCTACATAGAAAAGCATAAAAATAATTTAAAACTCCGCTCCACACACATCCCCGATGCCAAACTCTCCCACAGCTCCCCCCCTGCCCAGGGGGAGGAAGATTTCAACCAGGATTCAACCCCCCCAGGCAATTAAAATAAAGCAAAGGCATCCATCGCTTTGGAGCTTGTGGGTGGGTGAGATCCAAGGGAGGGGGGAATGTGGCCCCCACCTACATCTGGTCTCCCCCCACTTCACTTCTGGCTTCTTTTTTTTTGGGGGGGTGTTTCCTTTCTTCCAGCTGCAGAACAACCTGTGGCCAAGCTCCGGCCCCGGGAGCCCTGCGGGGCTCCTGCCCCCCGAGAGCATCCCGTCCCCCTGCATGTCTCCGTACCCCAACGCTGTCACAGCAACCATCGCCGGCTTCATGGGCATCCCCGCTTCTCCCGGCCCCCACCCCAGCATCAACAGCCTCTACTCCCTGCACGGCCTCCCCCCGCCCACCCCCTTTCCCTCCAGCACCAGGGTTTGGGAGCAGTTTGGGTGGGGTCACCCTTACCCCCCCCTCCCCATGCACCCCGATCTCCGACAGCTTCCTGCATCCCACCCCACTCCATCACACTGCTGTCACCCCCGCCCAGGTGAGGGGGGTCAAGGCGGGTGCTGCTGGGGGAGGGAAAAGGGTCACCCCCAAACCCAGCCCACCCCAGTGGGGCTGGCCCGGGCAGCTCGGGACCCCAAAAGTAGCTCCAAAATATGTCCCCCCCTCCCCAAGCACCTTCAGAGAATGGGATTTGATGGAGATACCTGGCAGTTTGCAGCAGGGGCGCAGCCTCTTGGCCCCCCCACCCGCACCCCCCTGTGCCTTCAGACCCTCCGTGCCTGACCTGGGGGGCGCCAACCTGTCCAGGGAGGGGACTGTGCCAGCAAGGGGTGCCAGGGGAGCACCATGGCAGGGGGCACTGGATTGTTTTGGGGGTAACACTCCCCTCCCCAGCTGAAATTTGGCCATTCCCCCCCGCCCAGTGCAGCCAGCAATGGCAGAAATTGGGTTCTTCATGTGCCAGTTCAACCATACTGGGAAGACCCACGCAAGCTGGGACAGCTACTGGTGCTCAGGGGGAGTTACTGGGGGGCAGAGCAAAAGCCCCAGCCATGTTCAAGGAGCCCTCAAAGCCCCCCCAAACCACCAGCAGCCCTTTCTGCTCCCCCTCAGAGAGGAAATAAGGTCCAGGACAACCCCTGGGCAGAGTCACCAGCTCCTGCAACGCGCGGGGCAACAAATGGGCAACAAACCAGTACGGGGTGGGGGCTGCAGGGGTAAGGACACCTAAATTGAAGCCCCTGTGGGGTCGCCCCATGCCTGTCACCCCTCAGATCAGTAAGGAGGGGAGGTGCTTTAATCCCGGCGGGTGGGAGCCCCGTCCCTGGTACCATTCCGGGTGCCCCAGCTGGGGTGTTGGGGGTACAAGTGGTCAATTTGGAGGGGTTTTCCCCAGTTTGGGGATCTGCAGGAAGCCCGTTAGCAGTGGTACCTGTATGGCCAGTCCTGGGTGTCCGAGGGGGGATCATCCGATGTCCTTCATCTCCTCTGGGGGTCCCAGGCCACACCACGAGTCCCTCCAAGTGCCAGGTCGCAGCAGTGCGACCCCCCGAACCGCAAGGCAAACGGCCCAAATCAAGTCACGAACAGGACCTCCCCTTGCTCACCCCATCGCCAGGAGATGCTGTTACACCCCCCAGGGCCCCCTCGTGTCAAAAACCAACCCCAAAACTGCGATGCCGCCTTGCCCCCAGCTCCTGCTCTGCCGCATCCTGATGCTGGGGCCGGGGGGAACTTTGGTCGGGCACCATGACCCCCTCGTGCAGGCACCCGACCTGCTGGTCTAGCCCAATTTGGGCCAAAAAGCAAGGTTTCCAGCCAAAGGGAGCCCAAATGCTCCAAGACCTGCATGGCTGTTGTTCCTCACCCACCAGGCTTGGCACCCCTGGGTGCCCCCCAGGAGGCAGCCCACAGCCCGTCCATGCACCCAGTGGGTGCCCACCCTCGCCTGGGACAGCTTGTGCCCTGGCTCTCGCAGCCCCCCCCTCCCACCAGCGGGGATTTTGTTATTCATTTATAAACAATAAAACACATTTTTAATAAGTTATTTATGGCTCCGGCAGCGCTATAAAAGCCGCGGTCTGTGATCGCCCGGCACAGCTGGGGAACATTTTGGCGCAGGCGGAGGGGAGCGAGGTGTGATGGAGAGCTGGGCTCGGCTCACACCTCATCGGCGAGGGTCCCGCCAGGCCCCCCCGGGCCGGCTCCTGCACCAGGACTGGGTTTCAGGGGCTGGGGGTGGGTGCTGGGGGCACCCAGGTGGAAGGAAAGCACCCTGGGGGGGCTCAGTATGCTTTGCAAATACATGCAAAGCCCATTGCAATGCCATGGGTGGTTGCACCCCCCAGCAGGATCTGGCCCAGGATGCATCCACCCCGATCCGAGCTGCTCACGGGGGGCCAAGGTCAGGGTGCAGCACTGGGGACCTTGGAGGGGTCACTGGGCTCTGGCTCAATGTCACCAGCCATCCCTTGCCCGTGGCAGGATGGGTCCCAAAGCCACGGTCTGGGGAAAGGCACATTGCCTTCGAGGCTGGGCCCATGTGGCTTCTCTGATGGCTACAAAGGGCTGAGTTTGCTGCCTCCTGCCTTTGGAGCGGCCTCCAGGGCAGGGGCTGAGCACCCCCAAGGCTGGGCAGGGAGCAGGGGGATGCAGGAAGAGCACAGCCCCCACCCTTTGTGCCACCCCGAGGCACCCCAATGTCGCACACCACCTCTCCCCTCCAGCCCCAGGGCAGGGACGGCAGCTGGGGTCACTCCTGGAGCACCACAGGCTCGGCCCAGCAGGCGACGGCTGGTAAATCAAAGAATCACAGGATCATTTGGGTTGGAAAAGCCCTTTAGGATCCCCAAACCCAACCGTTCCCCTACTCCTGCCATCCCACCCCCAAACCCTGGCCCTCAGCACCGTCTCTGCCCGGCTGTTAAATCCCCCCAGGGCTGGGGACTCGACCCCTTCCCTGGGCAGCCCCTTCCAGCCCCTGACAACCCCAAGGGGAAGGAATTGTTCCCCATGCCCAACCTCACCCTGCCCTGGCACAACTTGAGGCCGGTGCCAGCCGCTCCCCAGCAGCCTGGGGCTCCAGGGGGCCAGGGAAGCAAACAGCCTCCACTGCCCCTGCCCTGCCTCTCCCCCCTCAAACCAGGGGTGAAGCCCCCAGGATTTCATGCACCCGAGCCGGCAGGGGCTGCTGCTGCCTCTCTGCCAGGGAAACCGAGGCACGACAAGGCACAAGGATGAGCTCTTCCAAGGCCAGGGTTGGATGCCTGGCTCCTCCCTGGGAGCAGGGGCCAAAGAAAATCCCAGTGACACCACCAGTGTCAGAAATGCCAGGGCAGAACAGCAGAGGGGACAGGCAAATGCCTGCTTGAAGCTGCCAGCTCCTGCCTGCACCCCCCTGAGGTCACCAGCTCCCCAAAGCCCGCAGATCCAGCTGCAAGGTAAATATTAAATCTTTCAGCAACACATAACCCACCCCCAGTGGGATTTGGGATTTGAGGAGCGAGTGGCGTCAAGGACACGGAACAATGAACCCCGTGCACCAGCCCAGCCCCATCGCTGGGTCCGCCCGTTGCTGCTGCCCGGGGGCAGGAGGGACGGGGACACAGACAGAGCCCAGACACCATGGGGTCAGAGATATCGCGAAATATATATATTTATATGTACAGCTCATCCACCCCACCCAGCGGGGCAAGGGAAGACTGCAGCCTCCAGCCCTCCCCAGCCCATCAGCAAGAGGTCAGCCCCTCAACCCCCCGCCATCGCCCTCCCAGTGTCCCCAGCCCTGCCACCGTGTCCTCAGGCAGGGTCTGGGCAGGGGGGCAGACTGCTCTCCTGCCACAGCAGCCCCCGCGCTCCCCGTGTCCCGCAGCAGCGCCAAAGAGGCCCTGGCCCCACTTTGCCCCACTCCCTGCACCCCCTTCTTGGCTCTGGTGGGGGGCAGGAGGGCGATGCTGGTGCTGCCTCCAAAAGCATCGCCCAGGGGCATGCATGGGTCCCCCCCACCCAGCATGAAACTCCCAGGGCCCCCACCAAGCCTTCACCCTCCGCTCAGGATTGAGCCTGGTGCAGCCTGGAAGGAGGCAGAGGGGCAGGACAGTGTCTTGGCAAGGACCCCACAGCTCCAGCCTCCTCCCGAGCCCACCACAGGGGGTCCAGGCACCCACAGACCCCCCCAAAACCTCCCTCCCCCTGCCCCTGGGCAGCGGGCTGGGCTCGAGATCTCCCCAAAGCACCCCCTCCTGCCTCCCTGACATCTGTCACTGCAGCAGCTCCTCCCAGGAGATGGGTCGGGAGAAGACCTCCCGCTCCAGCCACAGGTCATAGTTGACCTGGAAATCCTCGGGCAGGTCCACACGCTGGCCCAGCACGCTCTGCAGGCAGTTGTCCACGGGCAGAAAATCGGGGTTGCTGTGAGCCCGGTCATAGCGACGCGAGTTGAAGCGCTCAATGCTGGCGCGCAGGGCACACTCCTCCGCCTGGAAGTCCCAGGGCCGGGCATCCAGGTCTGGGCAGAGGGAAGAGAGGTGTCAGAGGGGAGCTGGGGGCCCTTCAGCCAGCCCCAAACCCTCAGGAAAGGTCTTTGCAGGTCCTTACAAAGATCAATATGCAGGGCACGTAGCAGGCAGCCAGCAACAGCTCCAACACCAGCCATTGCCAGCCCTTTCCCTCTTCCCCACGACGCCACCACCCCAAATCCCTCCCTGCAGCCCGGCCGAGGGCAGCAAAGGGACAGCTCTGGGCACAGACACGTCGCTGCACGCAGCGGGAAGGACAGCGGGTAAAGGGATGCTCTGCAGCCACTGTGAAGGACGTACCATTGCCGTAAGCCCAGTCGTCGTTGAGACGGTGCCGCACTTTCTGGTAGATGGCCGACATGGTTTTCATGTTGCTTTTCCTCCACTGCCGGCCCAGGTACTTGGTCTGTACCTTGAGCAGCTTCAGCACGTAGAGCTGCATCATGGCCTGCTTCACTTTCAGCGCCCGCTTCAGGATGGGCGCCGACTTGAACACCACCAGCATCTGCAGGGAACGGCCCCCCGCGGCAGCCGGGGACAGAGGGGTGACATGGCTGGGACAGGTACGTGGGTACCTCCTGTCACACATGTGCCAACCCCCTCCAGCACACACAACCCCTTCCCTGCAGTGTGCGCTCTCCCTCACCCATTCCACCCACCCTCCCTCGCCTGCCGATCCCCAGTGAGGTCTGGGGGGCAGCACAAAGGGCACCCCAAGGACCCAGCAACAGCCCAGTCTGGCTGGGCTGAGCCCCAGCACGTTCCCTGGCCCTCACCATGGTGCGGGAATGCTTCCACTTGGTCAGCTTATTCAGGATGCGCAGGAGGTTTATGCAGGAGAAGAGGTTCCTCCAGCAAAACTGGTTGTTGTCCCCAGCTTCCTGCAGGAAAGCAGAGGCAAGAGATCGGAGCGGGGATGAGGAGAGGCTGTTTTGGTCTGAGGACCCTTGCCTGAGGACCTAGAACACAGCACACAGGCAGGAGACGTCCGACAGCCACACACCAAAGCCCCAGCAGTGCCGGGGCCAAGCGCAGGAGTGCTGAGCGGCCCAGGGCTGGGTGCTGGAGCCCTGCTGCTTCCCTGCACCCATGAAACCCTTTGGGGAGCACCCCGGGGTGCCAGGACCTGGCAGAGAAGGGAGCAACTCACCAGGCTCTCTGCTGTCAGCTCCGGCAGCTCGTGCACCACGCAATACGGGTAGTCCAGGACTGAAATGCTGCAGGAAAGAGAGGGGCTGTCACATGCTGCTCCCCCAGATCCTACCTGGCTTGGGGGCAACGCAGCCCCACACCTCCCACCCACCCATCAGCTGCCATGGGCACCTCCCTGGGTCTACCTGCACCCAAGCCACAGCCAGGGAGGGATTGTGGGGGGACAAAGCAAGCAGAGACCCCCTCCCCACACCTGGCAGGGATGTGGTTGGGCAGCCCCCTCCCACTACCTGTTCTTGGCAGTGATGTAGGACATGATGTTCTGGTTGAAGAACTTCAGGATGAGCGGGATGCAGTTGGCAAAGACCAGATGCTGGGCCATGTACTCAAACTGGGGAGAAAAGAGGGTGAATGGGAACCCATCCTGGGTCCTGGCCATCCCCAAAGCCCTGTGGGGGGCTGCCAGACCCTGGCTCGCCTCACCTGGTAGATGTGATTCAGCTTGAAGTGCTTGAGCAGGAGGAGCAGCACGGCGGAAATGGCTTTGACGATGATCTCCTTGTGCCGATTGACATCCACCCCCAGCTTCATGCTCTGCAGCACCGTGGTCCTGGGGGACACAGAGGGATCCTTGAGGTGAGGCACTGCCCGCACCCCGCCAGCCCCGGAGGTTTCGGCATCCCCCAGGCCCTCAGCAGCCACCTGCAGCCAGCTCCTGCAGCAATGCCCAATTCCTGGCACCCCACCAAGCAGAAGATGGTCAGATCACCCAGGAGGCCTCAGCACAGCCCAGCCCAAACTGCACCACCCTGCCTGGCTCCCTCCCATCCCCCCTTCCCTTCCCACCCACCACCCAGCACCTCTGCTCGCCCTCCACGGTCACTCACGGCATCTCCTCCGGCAAGACGTCTGCCAGGATGTTGATGGAGTCCGTCTTGGCTTTGGAGGTGGGGGCTGCGGCAAGGAGGATCTTCAGCAGAGCAATCTGGAGAGAAGGGAGAGATGGAAAAGGGGATGGGAGAGGGAGGACTGGCTACAGGCCCCCCTCTCCACTGCAGGAGGGAGTAACATGGAAGTATATGCAGGATGAAACTTTGGGGGGCATCACTGGAAAGGGACAGAGCAGTGGAGGGAGGCCCCAGGACGAGGGCCCCGTGCTCCCCAGCTCACCATGTATTGCGGCAGGCTTGGCAGAAGGCCCTGGTACAGGATTTCCGCAGGGACTTGCTCCACTTCTTCTTCCCCCTGGTGCCAGGAGAGACCAGAAAACCTCATACCAGGAGCTGCCACCAGCGCAGTGGGCCTGGCTCAGCCCCAGGCTCCCTGACCCCAAGGGCAGATACCCCCAGCTCCTGCCCAAAGCCTCCCCACACACCCCACTCCCTGCCCCAGAGAAATCACTCCTCCCTTCCCAGCAGAGCAAACCCCCAGCCCCTCCGACAGCCAAAACGCCTGGCAGGACTGAGTGCCCCCAGCTCCCAGCCTGGGAGCTTTGTCCCATCCTCATCCCCACACTCACCCCAGAGAGCGGTGAGCGCAGGTACTCGTCCTCCATGTGCACTTGCACCTCTGCGATAGATGTGTACTTGTGCTGCATGGGGAGAGAGCAGGGGTTCATGCCACAGCCCACTCCCCCCATCGATGCCACTAGCCCTATCATCTTTTTAAGTCCCTCCCTGTTATTCCTGTCCTAGTGGTGACCGATGTTGACAGGCAGGGTGGTGGCCACTGCCCTGGGACAACCCCAGTAAGGAAGGGATGAAGCCAGTGAGGAAAGGTGCGCTCAGCCAGCCTGGGAGACCAGGGATGAAAACTTAAGGCTGCTCCCATCACAGGGCTGAGCAAGTGGGAGAGGAGTCAGCAAAACACCACTGGCCCTGACCTGTTATCGGTGCAGGGGGACGGGACACAGCAGCAGGGGCTGGAAGAATTAATCGATGTACTCACCAGTTTCAGCAAACCTGAGCCACCCCCAGAGGCAGGACAAAGCCCACCACCCTGAGAAGCCAACGAGCTCAGGATTTCTCTGCTGCCAAGCAGAGGGCAACAGCAGCCCCCACACTAGCAGCCTCTATCACTATCCCCCCTCCAAATCAGCAGCCCCCCAGGCTGGATCTGCGGGCAGCCACCTGCCCAGAGTGTAGCCGATGAACTTGCTGCGGCTGGACTCCAGGAACATCTCAATGTCCTTCTCTCTGCAGCAAAGGGACAAGAGGAAGAGTCACATCTTCCTGTCCATCTGGGTACCCCACAGCCCCAGGCACAGGGAAAAGCCTCGCGGTCAGATAAAGGAGATGGTGCTGAGCTCATTCCACCGAGAGAACGGTCACCAAAGCGACCATCAGATCGACCACCCCATCTTCCCCACACCCCTGCTGAAGATCTCGATATTTAACAGCTTCTGTTTTCCTCAGCCCGCTCCAGCTCTCCCCACAGCCTGGCCCAAGGTCAACCCCACAGACTCACCGGACCTTGGGGGCCCAGGGCAGCCCCTTGGGGCAGGTGATGCGGTCACTGGGGGGATGCTGAGTGGGGGGAGGCATCACTTCATCCCGTTCGAGGGGGAAAGTCTCTCCCTCCAGACTGTTGTCATCATCATTTTCCTCCTCTTCCTCACGGGAGTCATCAGCTTTGTAAGGGTCCCGCTCGTTAAAGGCATCAAGGTTATCCTGCTTAATGAGGGCCTGGAGAGAGAAGAGTAGGCAGGTGAACATCCTGGGGACAACTTGATCCAAGGTCCATTCCCAGACCCCAGCCATCCCCTTATTAATGTCACCATCCCCATCTCCTTGCACCGGCCTCACCTTGTGCTCCCGCCGGCCTCGCTTCTGCTGCTGCTCGATCAGATCGGAGGCGGACGCGGGCGGGGAGGCAGCTCGCATGTTGCGGATCACCTTAATGCTGTCCTCCGGGAGCGGCGGGGGGGCCACGGGCTTCCCCCTCTCTGCCCTCTCGATCGCAGGTGAACATCCTGGGGACAACTTGATCCAAGGTCCATTCCCAGACCCCAGCCATCCCCTTATTAATGTCACCATCCCCATCTCCTTGCACCGGCCTCACCTTGTGCTCCCGCCGGCCTCGCTTCTGCTGCTGCTCGATCAGATCGGAGGCGGACGCGGGCGGGGAGGCAGCTCGCATGTTGCGGATCACCTTAATGCTGTCCTCCGGGAGCGGCGGGAGGCCCAGGATCTCCCGCTTCTCTGCCTTCATGCTCTGGAGCTCCTCGAAGCCCCCCAGAGTGCACTGCAGGGGAGACCACGGCACCCTGAGCACAGGGGACTCCTTGATGCACGGCACCAGGGGCTTCTCCACCTGCCCTCCCCAAATCCACTCTCCAGGTATCCCAAATCCTTCCCCGGGGTGTAAAACAAGAGCTGCCTGTCCCCACACTGCTCTCATCATTGTGAAAGGCAGAAGGGACAGGAGGGTGTCCAGGCACCCACAACTGAAGTGTCTGGACCTTTTCATTCATGCAGACCCCAGCCAGAGACCTTGCTTTGGGTCTCCCCTTGGTATCCAGGTCCAGACACCCATATCCAATGCTCCCCTATGGGGTGAAACCTGGAGATGGGTTTAATAGGGTGCGAACTACTCAGCTGTATGCCAGAAAAAGAGGATGGAGCAACTACAGCCAGCTCAGAGTGCAGAACTTCCTTCCCCTGCCAAACCACAAGACGCGTGTTGGCACACCCCATGGCCTCTCCTTACCAGCACAGTTTTCCAGAGCAAGAGCAGCACCTTCTTCATGGGGAAATGCGGAGCGTGACCGCTGCAGAATTTGGTCACCATCCCAAACAGCATGACGGAGAAGGGCTCGTTGTTGTACAGGGAGGCTCCTGGAACCACACGGCAGCAATAGCCTCGTCCCTGTCCTTACCCCAACCACCAGCACCACCAGCCCCTTCGCCCTCCCATGGCCTCTGCACCTCCCATCTCCAAGATCCTCACCTCACTTCCTTTCCAAGGCCTTGTACCCTCCATAATTTCTTACCTCTGTGTTGAGAGAAAACAACAGCCCCAATATTCAAATGTTTTCCCCAGGGAGAGAGCACCCAGACAGCAGAAAAGGCTGGCTGGCTTCCTCTGCTCACCCCGCTTTGTCCCACCAGCAAGGTTCAGCCTAGCAAAACCAACCCAGTGTTGCCAGTCACTATTAACTGAGGCCTACAGCCAAACCCCATCTCACTCTCTTGCTCTTCAGCCCTGGAAACCTCCATCCCATCATCGCCCGAGCGCCTGGTGCTCACCCAGCTCTGCTCGGAAGGTCTGTCTCATGCTCTTCCACTCGGGCTTGTCCCCCTCAGCCTCCTGCCGAACAGTCTCCACGATCAGGTACATGATGTTCAGCAGCACCCTGCAAAAAGCAGGCGATCAGGTGAATCACCAGAGGTTGGGATGAATTATGGAGGCACCACGGGCACCCAGGGCTCTGGGTGAGGTTGGATCTGCCCAGGCCACAGCCAGTTTCCATGCACCCACTCCACAACAGGGGATCGGTGCTCAGGCACTGGGGGAAAAAAAAAAAAAGTCTCAGCAAGTCAAAGCAGGAAAAAAAACCTGCTTTCCCATAGTTCACTGCTTTCCTGTCCCTGACCAGCCACACGCCTGCTGTGCAGGCTGAGCACGAGGGACATTTAGTGGCTGAGCAGACCCAAGCACACCTGACGATGCTCACAGAGCCAGGGCAGAAGCTGGGACAGCCCTGGGACACCTTCTGGTGCCTGCTGGCCTGTCCCAGCCCACCAGAGAAACCAGCAAACTCGGGGTCCCCCTCCCACCCCCAGAGCATCCCTTCCTCCCAAGCCCTGCTCCGTACCTCAGGTCGGTGCTGTCAGCCAGGGAGATGGCCGGCTTTCTCACGGCACTGCTGCAAGCCGCGCTGTTACTGCAGAGGGAAAACAGCCTCAGAGGGGCCTCTGGAGACATTTTTACTCTGCCACGAGCAACCCACACACCAGAGCCAAACCCTGGAATAGATACTGCTGCCACGAGTCCCCTGGTCCCAGCGCAATCAAGGGAGGAGGAACAGCCCCATCTCTATTTGCTGCCAGGCAGCATGGCTCATAGTGAATTTCTGTATAAATCAGGGATAATCCTACATTACATATCCACCCAGAACAACGGGAGTCATTCCAGTGGCTGCAGGAATCAGATTAGGGACAGACAGACCAGGAATGGGACTGCCACAAACTGGAAGAACTCCTGCCAAGGAGCTCCAGAGCCATTTCCAAAGTGCTTTCCCCCAGTACTCACTCGATCTCCATGTTCAGCAGCTCCACCAAAGCGTTGAACGTCCCCACTTCCAGCAAAAGGAAGATGTTATACCTCATCCAAGCCTGCACCTCCACCTCGGAGCCACACTCCCCAAACGTGCCTGCAACGATACCCTCGCTGGATCCCATCTCCACAGGGATCCCGAGGCCCTCCCACACCACCAGAGCTCTTTGCAGGGGGGATGAAAAACACAGCCTTCATTTTAAGGCAAGAAGTCAGACGCAGAGGAGGGAACTGCGCTCCTGTGGGTAACGCAGCCCAGGTCTGGCGGAGCCAGGATGGGACGGGGAAGTCAGCCAAATTTTGGACCAAACTCCTATAAACTGTCTGGCTCCCAGAAGAATTAGCTTCGTTCCAGACATCCCAGGTGAAATCAAAAACGCAAGGAAAGAAAACAATTTTAAATATTTCAAATTGACAACCTCCAATCCATTACTTGAACTTAGCAAAGGGGAAACTAAGGGGGCATAAGCCTGGTGTCACCTTGGGCAACGTAAAGGATGGCTCGGGCAACCCTCAGCCTCTTCTCCCGCGCGGTGACCTCCAGCCCGTCGAGAAGCCGCATGGCGTGAGTGCGGTGCTGGTTCTTGTCCAGCTCGGTCCATTTCTTGTCCCGCACTGAAAAGCCAAAGCAGCCAGGCTGAGGGCACGGGGCACCTCTGCCTGTCCTGGACATAAACACCACAGGAACAGCTCATAAGGATTCAGGATGACGGAAAACAGGGCTGCCTCAGGGAACACTGTGCTCCTGGGAGTAACGCCCAGGCGGGCGTGATCGGCCCGGACAGATCGTCTCCTGCCTTCCGTCAGACGACTAGATGAATCACATCCATCTGAACCGGCGCTGGCAGCTGATGGGAAATCAGCTGAATGCTCTTGCTGCTGCCAGTATGTTCCAGCACAGCCGTCCTGGTGCCGATGAACCACCTCGGACATCAACATCACGAAATGCTGAGCGCGCTGGAGGCAGCGAGCTGCACTCCGGGGCCAGCCCACGCGCACCAGCAAGGTCTCCGGTACAAACCGCAGGAAGATTGTCAGTGCACGGCTCGAGCTTTCTGACACAGCATTAATGCATCAATCCCCGTGTCTCCTTTGGGAGATCCTTGTCCCACCCCAGACGGGCAAGAGGTCCAAGAGAAGGGTCTTACCGTGGATCCTGAAGTCCTCCTCAAAGCACTTGCGGTTGAGCAGGAACTCTGGCCCTTCCGTGTAGCTGTACAGCTCTGCCAAAAGAGCACAGAGGAAAACCTCCAACAAGCTGCACCATCAGAGAAAGCTGCAACTTGGTCACATTAATGGCAGTTTTATCCAAGATGAGGGAAACGCAAAAAGCACACCCAGCAGAAGGCTGAAAATATTAATTACACGATATCACTTCCCTTTTAACATGAATAAGGTGTTGAAAGACAATAATAACGAGATACTGGAATTGACAGAGCTCCTTTAATCACAGCCAGGAAAGAAAATCATGGCTGATTGATTGATCCACCAAGACGAGTTCCTTACCAGAGAGCTCTGCTGCCCATTTGTCGGTATCTGCATATTCAAACTCCAGGTCTGGGGACTCCGAATAGCCCTGAAAGCAGAGGAAGAATTCAGTTATATTACAGCATTTTTCAGGAAAATCAAAATCCCCAAGACATTCACAAATCACCTCATCTTCCTGTGAATCCAGGACTGTATCTTCTGTTTAAGAGACCAAAAATGTACCCGCAGCGGCGTAAACGTTACCAAGGCAACTCCTACCCACCTCCTGCATCTCCATCCCAGCTCTCCCCAGCTCCGCCGCATCGAGCCACGCTGCGCTTCGCTGGTGGGCAGCCCCTGCCACTGCACCACCTCTAAAACACTCCGGGAGCCCCAAAAGGCCAAAAAAATAAAGCAGGAGACAGGGCGTGCTTAATCTCAGGGCAGGGAGTAGGTTATGTGGGACCAAGGAGCTCTCAGAGCTCACCCGTTTTGCAGGGATGCGTGAAAATTTGGGCTGTCCCCTCCAGTGCTGACTGGAGGGATGCCAGCAGATGCAAATAGTGAGAACAAAACAACTCCAAGCAGCTTTGATGAGCATGGAAAAAACATCCAGGAGAAGCCTTAGAGCACAAAATGTCTGTTCCCTGTAAGGAAGTCATCAACGCGGAGCCACAGCAAACCCCTCCTGAACCGCAGAGCACCCACTCCTGGGCAAGGGGCAGATCCAGCCCGACGGCTCCGTGATGGGTGGTGGGTCTGTGCTGCTCTGCAGGGCCAAGAGCTGCTCCTCGGCATGCAGGGGTCACACAGACCTCCCCGTGGCCCTCTCCCATCATTTCAGGGGGTGTCCCCCATCCCACTGAGGACACCCGTGGAAGTGGATGGCCCTAGAGCCATCCCAGGAACGCAACTGGATTTGGGGGACACAAGGGAAAAGCTGTGGGATAAATCAGCTCCACCCAGGCCCACGCAACCCTCCCGATCCCCCACGGCTCAGGCGTCCCCACCGGGACCTCAGTGCCTCCTTGGAGGGGTCGGTCACCTCTTGCCAGAGCCATCCCCGGGCCGAGCACCGCAACAGGACCCAGCGCATGGGGACCCAACAACCCGGCTACGGCGGCACAGGGCTGGGGCG